TTTGGAGGCTGTCAGTCCAGCCTGCCTCTGCCTCCCGAGTGCTGACAATTAAGTTTTTTAAAGAAAAATTGTTTTCTTTAAGACCAGTCTAAAATCATATATTTTAATTTTTTCATCATAAAAGTAGAAAGTAGTCAATTTTTTTAAAGCAGAAAACATACTGTATTTTGTTAACCAAACACCACAAGTTTACACATCTTTAATTTTCCACGTTAGGTCAAGAGGAAGAGAAGAGGCAACAAAATGAGAACTGGAGAGATGAAGGGGACAGGGATCTGCATGGGGAGCCTCACAGAGGCCACAGGGGGGCGGAGACAGTGTGTGAGGCTTAGGGAAAGGGGGACCTGTGGAAGAGCAGGAGCTGGTGGAGACCGGAACCACTGTGACAGCTCTTAGATTCTGGGGAGAAAACTTAAGGAAGTTCTGAGTGATGGACAGAGTGGTGGAGGATTTAAAACCTTGTCCACATCTCTTGGAAATGGCAGAGAGAGGGCTCCGTCACAATGGCTGTCCCCTCCCACTCACAGTGATGTCAAAAGATTTCTTCCCTGTGCAACTTTCTCCCCCTGCTCTATTGCCCCTCCAGCTTCTTAATTCTTCACTAACAGGAGGCACCTCAGAGGTCTCAAACAATACAGAAGCCCCTTTGCCTGCCCTCCCTGCTCCAGCTTCTCCCCTGCAATCTCCTTCTGCAAATTAATTTGCATTCCCTGAAGTTGTTGCTTTTGTTTTTGTCTTTTAAAGATTTTTTTGTTTTGTTATTGATTTTCACAACAGGGTTTCTCTGTTTTGGAGGCTGTCCTGGAACTCCCTCTGTACACCAGGCTGGCCTCGAACTCACAGAGATCTGCCTGCCTCTGCCTCCCGAGTGCTGGGATTAAAGGCGTGCACCACCAACACCTGGTTAAGATTTATTTATTTTTATTTTATGTGTTCAAGTGATTTGCCTGTGTGCACACCCGAGTGTGTGTGTGTGTGTGTGTGTGTGTGTGCGTGCGTGTGCATGCATGCACGGGAGTGTACCATATGCATACCTGGTGCCCACAGAGGTCAGGACAGAGTGTTGGATTTCATGGAACTGGAGTTATGCATGGTTGTGAATTGCCATGAGGACACTGGAAATAGAATCCCAGTCCTCTGCAATAGCAGTAAACGTTATTAACTGCTAAAACATCTCTCTAGGCCCTATTTCTTGGAGTTTTATATGTGTGGAATTATGCCAGATGAATTTAAATGGACTGGCTTCTGTCACTCATCTTCATGTCTTTGAAATAAAACCCTAGGCTTATCACTTGTTGCTATACTGAGTTTTGTACACACACACACACACACACACACACACACACACACACACAGAGGTATTATTGAGGTATAATTGAAAGCCAGGAATACAGAACCCAGAGAAGGATGACATCTGACCAAAAAAGAAATAAGAACAGGGAAGGGGCACGCCTGTGCCCCTAAAGCACAAAGGCAATTTAATGTGCTCTGAAAGAATGTAGCTTCATCAACCCCATAGTGACCAAAGAGAACTGGCTTGCTCCCACCAACCCAAGACCCTAGCCACCAGGAAACTGAGGCTATTCACAGAGTCACAAGGTCTGGAGGGGCATGGAAAGCTTTCCTTTCTAGTCCAAAGCCTTGGAGGAGTCAGGGATGGCCGAGTCTCACATCATCACTCATCAGTACAAACAAACGTATGTTTTCCTTGTGCCTGGTTAGGTGCATGGAGACAAGGGACCTATGGTGCTGCATAAATAGGACAGGTGGAAGGCTTCCTCTTCTGTCAGACGCCTTCTGAGGAAAACCTGTGTGCCCATTAGAAGTTTGCCTTCAAGATTGCTGACTCAAGAAAAACAAAAGCAAACCAGAAAAGGGAGTTGGAGAAAAGTGTCTGTGAAACAACTCGGAGATGCAAACACCGTATCCTAGCCAGAAACTGTGTGGGCCTGTGGGAGGCACACAAAGTTCTTTGGGAACCAGATAGATCTCACAGACCGGCCCTGCGACTCTGACCTCCACAGTCACTCCTCCTGTGTTGACAAGGGACGCTTTTTATTCATCTGATGCCACTCGGCTCACTACTATCAGCATTCTACCCTCATTAGAATCCTAAACTGTCCTTGACCCAGCTGGACTCTGGAAACAACAGTCTGAGGAATCCTGGGATGTGGAGACCAAACTCTTATTGAAGTGTTTTGGTGTACGTACAAGTGTATATGTGTGTGTACATGCCATGCTTTTGAGGGTGCCCGCAGAGACCAAAAGAGGGTGTCAGATCCCCTGGAGCTGGGGCTACAGGTGGTTGTAAGCTACTCTATGTGGGTGCTGAGGAGCAAACTCAGGTCCTCTGGAAAATGAGTAAGCATAGTGATTGCTAAGATGTCTCTCCATCTCTATCTCTTGGTGACCCCAGCAACACCATCCCCCAGTACCATCTCCCTTTAAGTCCTCACCTCCCCAAGTGTTGCTGCTGATTGGTGGCAGCAGTGTCACCTCAAAAAGCAAATTCCTTGACACTTCCTCCACCCACCTTCTTACTGAACTAGAATATGCATGTTGACAGATCCCCTTGGTGTGTATGTACATCTGCATTTCACAAGCTCTAAGCTTAACCAGGGGCTTTTCAGCTGTGGTTGCTAAAGGTCATGCTGGGAGACACACTTGGCTGGCCTAAGTGGGGAGATGGAGTGACTCCTTTCCCATTGCTGAAAAGTAATGGAGAGATATACCTTCCCACCTGGTCCAAGATGGGAATCCAGGACTGCTGACTGGGGCTGTTTCCTCTGTCTGGGAGGAGTTGTAATAGACCTCCCTCTCACACAGACCTGTAAACAAGGGCTTTTTCTATACTTCCCCATCTCTAAAATATGTGATGCCACTGTTTGTGATGGTGCATACTGATAGGATTTCCTGAAGGAGGCAGGGGCAGGAGGATCACAAATTTGAGGCCAATCTGAACTTCACATTCAAAAGTAAATGAATAAATAAATAATAAAATATTTGATGCCCTTGTGCCTCACAGAGTGGCCTAAAGGCACAGAGACCACACAGAAGCATAATTACTCTCAAGTAGGACCAGCAGCCATTCCAAGGAGTAGAGATGAGTTTTGACAGCTCATTTGGATGGGAGGAGCTAAGCTTTGTTCTCACCAAGAAAATACAAACTATAAATGCATGCCCGACGTAAGCCACAAACAGAAATAACAGCTGTCATTGCAGAATACTTCTGATGTCCAGGATCTGGGCTAAATGGATAATTTCAGTCCTAGCATGTGGGTAATGTCAGTGATGCCTTCATTATGTATTCTAATCCCAGGCCACAAAGGCAGCTTGGCATCTCAGTCTGCATTCTCAGCCATATGCCACATGTGACAAGTTACAGAAGAGCTTTGAGTGGTGTTGGAAGAGTCTGCTATTGCTTAAACAGAAATTGTGTGTGTGTGTGTGTGTGTGTGTGTGTGTGTGTGTGTGTGTGTGTGTGTTTAATCGTTTTAGCACTGGCATACTTTGTATTTCTCTCATTGGAGTGAGACACATGGACTTAACAAAGTTCCTGTGTAAATAAAGCAGATCCAACTGTACCTTTTCTGCTAAGAGATGAGAGAAGGATCTGGGAGCCTGGCTTGCTCCCACACCTCACCTACCACACCCTCTATTCACTCACAGGAAGTGGATCCACCTCTGTGGTCTCTGGCCTCTCATATTTCCAATCCAAAATTCACTCCCTGACCTCCTTGTACCTGGGTTAACTGGAAGGTTCTCCCCAGTTCCCGTCTTGCAGGATAAGCCATGGGCAAAATAAGGATGTGTTGTTGAAGGGAGAGGCCCTGGTATGTATTAGCCTTTGAGGGATGGGCAGGATATTTTTTAAAACGATGAACTTGATTAAGTGCCTAACTTACAATTATTTCAAAGCAGCAAGAAAAAGGAAATGGTTGGAAGACACTGTAATGGAGAATTTGGTGGTGTAAGGTTGTGTCATAGGGAGAGAGTTTTTGTCTTGCATCCAAGCAGCCCAGTAACAATGAGACTGTTGAAACCGAATACCTTGTGTCTAGGTAGAATGTTGGATTCAAACATCTAGTATCTACCTAGACAAAGGTTCAGTCTAAGCCAGATGTGGTGGTACTTGGGAAGCTTGGTGAGTTCAAGGCTAACCTGGGCTATATATCAAAGCCCTGTCTCAAAATGAGAAAGATCCAGTTCAGTATGGACTTGCATTTAGGAGTAAGCTTGTGCAATTAGTATGAATGAATTGGCATTAGTCCAATCCAAGAAAGGATTGGGTGTGTGTTGGGAGTGGCACAGCACGACCTGTGTCACCCTTAGGTATCCAAGAACCACAGACACTTTAGTCTACTGCTTGGATTGTCCCACACCAAGTCACTATTCATCACACTCTTAACAAGGAGACATCAGGCAGAATGATCAAGGAACCCAAATAGCAACTAAAAGACATGTGCCATTCTGTCACCATGACTCTGGTCTCTCAAGGTCAACCCAGGAGAGCCCTGAATCTGGGAGGGTGGGAATGCAAGAGGCCATATTAGAGCCGTTTATAGATGACCCATTTAAATAAATGACTAGAAGGAGGGATTGGGTTCTCCCTTTTCAAAGGAGCGCATGCATCAGTTACTCACGATAAAAACATTCTTAAAAGACATATGAAGGTGGGGCCGGGTATTTGTTTGTTTGTATGTTTGTTTGAAACAGGGTCTCATAGTCCAGGCCATCCTCAAACTTACTATGTAGCTGACGATGGCCTTGAACTCCCCAATGTTCGATTATAGATGTGCACCACTACACCCACCAGGCCTCAAACGCACGAATACTTAAAACTTTATTAAAACCTCTGAGGAGCATTGCCTACCACTTGTAAGCAACTGCTCCCACTTGTACCCCTCCTGTCTCTCCTGGAACCTACCTGGATGGCAAGGGGGCAATCTTTGCAGGACATCTTTACATCTAATACTTGGCTGCTCTCTTCTTGTACCTAGTTCCACATGTGCTGAAGAGCTGTGCCGAATTTATAGAGACTCACGGCATTGTGGATGGGATCTACCGTCTCTCAGGCGTCACCTCGAACATCCAGCGGCTAAGGTAAGCCCAGAGAAGAGCCCAGAACTCTCCAGTGAGCCTGCCTCTGTTGTGTCCCTGTTGGCAATTGTTGGGAGTCCCAGAAAACTGAAAGGTGGCCTGCGTGAGGCGCAGCTGCCTGGCAGTTCCGACTCTAATCAGGAGGCTCCCAGTCTGGTGAAACGCTTTCCAATAAAAATGCCTTTTTCTTTGTCTTGGGCAGCGTTTATGCTTCTCTGGTGGATTGGGTTTACCTCAGATGATCTAAATTACAAGTTAGGAAATGTGTTTTTTCTAAAACCCAGTTAGATTGGGGCCCCTCACACACTGTTTAGAACTCTAAGCCCTTGGGGGGTTTTCTTTGGATATACTCTTGATATTTCAGATGCTTGAGAAATTAGATGCCTGCATAATTGTACATTTCTCTAATCGATGCTGGCATTCTTAAGTTACTCGGGGCCAGTGACATGGCTCCACAAGGGAAGATGCTTGCTGGGCAAGCCCAACAATCTGAGTTCGATCCCCGGAGCCTGTGCAAGTGGGAGGGGACAACTCACTCCACAAAGTTGTCCTCTGACCTCCATATACAACCAATGGCAAGTGTGCCTTCCACCTCCCCCAGAAATTTTTTAAATGGTATAAAAATGTTTAAATAAAAAGGTATGTACAGAGTATATATAGAATATATGAAATACAGGTGTTTTTCTGTGATTAGTGCAATAGCTTATTATTTTGCTTATTATTTATAATACCAAAATAATATTTAGTAGTTTTAAAAATATATTTATTATATGTTTGTTAATTATAAGTATCAATTCTAAAATAATAATAATATACATTTAAACATTTTTTTTTGGTTTTTCAAGACAGGGTTTCTCTGTGGCTTTGGAGGCTGTCCTGGAACTCACTTTGTAGACCAGGCTGGCCTCGAACTTACAGAGATCCGCCTGCCTCTGCCTCCCGAGTGCTGGGATTAAAGGCGTGCGCCACCAACGCCCGGCACATTTAAACATTTTTGAGAAATTATTCTTAGCCCAGGCTGGCATGGAACTCAGGGAAATCCTCCTGCTTCTGTAGAACACTCTTAATGCAAAGTCAACATGTAACTTGTGATATATTATGCAGATTATATATTATATAATTCAGATTTTGTCTATTTGGTCCTTCATCTCCAAATACCACTTGTAATTAAATTATAGTAAAAAAAACACTTTTATGGATGTTGAAAAAATAATTGGTTTATTACAAGTATAGATTCTTTTTCTTTTTAATTTTGTGGTGCTGGGATGAAACCTAGGGTCTTGTGCATGCTAGCCAAGTGCTCTAACGGTGTGCTAACCCCAGCCCTATTGTGCTTTCGTGAATCTGTGTACATGTAATTTAATTTACAAGAGGGCTTTTTGTTAATATTGTTGTTAGGGTTTTGTCCTGTTTTATTTTGAGACAGGGTGTAGACTAGACTGGCCTTAAACTCACAGGGACACCTCTGCCTCTGCCTCTGCCTCTGCCTCTGCCTCTGCCTCTGCCTCTGCCTCTGCCACTGCCTCTGCCTCTGCCTCTGCCTCTCTGCCTCTGCGCCTCTGCCTCTGCCTCTGCCTCTGCCTCTGCCTCTGCCTCTGCCTCTGCCTCTGCCTCTGCCTCTGCCTCTGCCTCTGCCTCTGCCTCTGCCTCTGCCTCTGCCTCTGCCTCTGCCTCTGCCTCTGCCTCTGCCTCTGCCTCTGCCTCTGCCTCTGCCTCTGCCTCTGCCTCAGATCTAGGATTAAAGGATGGGCCACCACACCAAGCTGTTTGGGTGTCTTCTTTGTTTTTTAAGATAGGGTCTCACTCTACCTCAGACTAGCTTTGACCTCACAATTCTCTTTCCTCATCCTCCCAAGCCCTGGGATTACAGGTGTGCGCCACCATACACAGCATTAGAATTCTATTGACAGCATTTTTCCTTTCTTGCTGGGGATCAGCACTGGTCCTTGAGCCTGCAAGTCACATGTGCACCTGTGTTCACAGACTCATGGGACAGCTCTTCTCAAGGCCCTTGAGTTGCCTTGAGGTTCCTACGATACTGGAGGGTTTCCCACTTGTCTCTGAAGAGAGAACCAGAGTAGAGGTAGGCCATGGGCTGATTTGAAAATGCTGATTCCCAGAATTTGTTTTACTGACCACGGAAGACACTTAGAAGCCTACCTTCTATATTAAAACCATATTGCAATTTTCAAGTATGTGTTGTTTGAGGCAGGGCATTCGTGTAACCTTGTAAGGAAATATTTTCTAATTTGACGCCAAGCCTAAACTGGGGCTGGTGGCACAGGCCTGTGACCCCCAACAATCAGGAGGTTGAAGAAGGATGTGAGGTCAAGACTAACCTGGCCTACACAGTGAGTCTCTAGTCAAAAGAAAATGGAGCAAAAGAAAATAAAATGAAATAAAAAAAGAAAGAAAGAAAACAGCACAGAAGCCTAGCCTGGAACCAGATGACATTGGTGTTCCTGGGATCCGACTGTGAACTGCTTAGGATAGGCCCACCCTCGTGTGACATGCACGAGTCACCACTAAGCAAGCTAGAAAGATCCACTGAGCATCAGAGAAGTGGTTGAGTTAGGTCCTCAAACCTTGAGAATCCAGATGAAGCCAGTTTGTGACATGACTAAGGTCATAGGTGATAAGACATCACACCCTCCCCACCCTGGACTGTACCACCTCACCCCACTTCCCAGTTTGGGGTCTCAGTGGTTTAAAAAAAAAAAGAATTTGATTTTGAGGAATGTTTTGGGAAAACTGAAATCTTAGTAGGGTCTTTTGGCAAACTTCTCATACCATCTCAGTGCCCATGACCAAGACACGGATATCAGGGCCGTGGGAACTCAAATGAGTCTTCTGTTCTCAAATGAGTTTTCTGACTTCAAGTCACAGCCTGCTTCCAAGCAAGCTTCAGCCGTCAGAAATGGTGTCTCTCCAATGGCCTCCTGGTGCCCGGAGTAGAATGGAGGTCAAGAGTACAGCCAGATCAGCAGCGTAGACTCTTTCTACCCCGGTGCCTCCGAGCAGCTGCCGACATGGAGTGCATGTTCCCTGGGATTGTTATGTCTCCGTCTGTGTTGTTTCAGGCAAGAGTTCGGCTCAGATCAATGTCCAGATCTGACAAGGGAAGTGTACCTCCAAGACATCCACTGTGTGGGCTCCCTGTGCAAGCTCTACTTCAGGGAGCTGCCCAACCCCCCTCCTGACCTACGAGCTCTATGAGAAATTCACGGTGAGTGTTTGCATTTTCGTTGTGGTTAGCCGCTGGGATGCATGGACCGGCCAAGGGCAGTTTCAACACTGAAATAACAATAATAAAACTCACCAGCTGGTTGGCATTATCTTAGCATCGTGGTGGAAGTAAGATGGCGAGGGAAGTTGGGCAGTGGGGACTGTTGGCTGACTGTTTCTTGAGTTTTCAGAATGAAGCTGTTTGTTTTAAGAGCTGGGTTAAATTATTTCTTTGTTTATTCAACTGAATGTGCCTCCTTGTACAGGGAGGAAGCAGAGAACCAAAGAAGTGAAGTGGCTGGCCCAAGGTCACACAACAGAGGCAGGGCAGGAATCTGAGCCCCTCACCCCCCACCCCCAATGCTTGCTGTACACCAGGATGGTTCTTTTTCAAAAGAGCATTCCTTCTGTGTTTGGTTGCAGATTCAGGGAGAGACCACTAGGTAGAAACCCCCAAACATCAAAAGATAAGTCAGAAAGCTAAGAAGAAAAAGGAAACAGAAAAGCACATGGGCCAGGGAGAGAGAGGGTAGGATAGGCCAGCAGGCTGCTGACGCAAGAACAGAAAAGCTATACCAAATAAGGCCCTGTGGGTGAGCAGAAAAGAGAACAGTGGCCCCAAACACACTCTTAAAGCCAACATTAATGTCGGGCTTGACAAGGTAGCCGGGCATAGGGATTCAAAGCCTGCATGCTTTCACGTTCCGATACGAGCTCATGAGGGTTGTGTATAAGTGGGTGTAAGTGGGGTACAGCCTAAGACACTAAAGTGTAGAGCCAGAAAGGGGGAAGAGGTGTATAGGAAGTGGGGGGGCCACAGGACACATGTGATACGAATGTAGAAAGAGGTTTCGGTGGGCGGAAAGGGACAAGAGAGCCTCGGGCAGGGGACAAAAGGGAGAAGGGACTCAACAAGAACAGATTTTGTTTGACAATGTTATAATGAAAACTAATACTAAGCGCGTTAATTGAGATTTTTAATACATAAAAAACTAAAATAGGGGCTTAACGCAACTGCCTACATAAGTAGATTTATGGAACAGGTGACTTATGGAAAAGAAAAGGAGAGGGCGTGGGGGGCTGCTAAAGCACTTGACCTCAGAAGTTTGTCTGGAGAGGAGTGCTGGGGAAGATTTGGTGAGCACTTGCTCACCCCTGCAAGGCCAGCGGAGAGCTGGAGGGCAAGGGTCAGGGGACCGATAGCTCGAATTAGCATCACCGATAGCAAAGAAACAAATCTGGGCACTAGTGGTGGGACAGGATGTTTCTCAATATCCTGTAACAAACTTTTGACCACATGAAAAGTTTCTTCATTCAAAATCACACAGAAATAAATGAATAACTATTGGGGGTGAATTTTTTTTTGAGACAAGATTTCTCTGTGTAGTCATGGCTGTCTTGGAACTTGCTTTGTAGACCAGGCTGGCCTCAGACTCACAGAGATCCACCTGCTTCTGTCCCCTAAGTGCTGGAATGAAAGGCGTGTGCCACCACTGCCCGGCATGAATCGTTATTCTTAAGAGTTGGGCTTGTAACCTTACCATGGGTTTAAGTGTTTTCACTGATATAGGAACAAGGTCTCAGAGATAACTGGAAAATAGAAAGAAAAAAACCCGAGATACATAAATGTATATTAAGAAAGGCTTGGGAAGGCTGGAAAGATGGTTCAGCCATTAAAACCCCCTGTAATTCCAGTTCCAGGAGGCTCCACACCCTCAAGCCTTTTGGACACCTGGCACACACGTGGTGCACATAAACCCATGAGGTCACACTTGCATAAAGATAAATAAGTCTTAAAAGAAAGGCAGGCCTGAGACGGTGCAGTGGCTCAGCGGCCCACCTAACAACCCGAGCTCAACTTCAGTTTCCAAGACCAACATGGTAGGGGGAGAGAAGAGACTCCCACAGTTTGTCCTGTGACATACACTTATGTGCCATGATGCATGAGCGCCTGTACACACACACACACACACACACACACACACACACACACGTGGAGAGCTGCGCCACACCGCACCTTAAGCACCTTAAAGATGTGCTCCTGTAATCTCAGTACTGCGAGATGAAGGTGAAGGATTGAGAATTGAGGGCCAGCTGTAGCCATATGTCAAGTGAGAGGTCAGTCAGCTACATGAGTCTATCTGTTAAAAATATACCATTCAGGCCAGGCTGTGGTGGCGCACGCCTTTAATCCCAGCATTAGAAAGGCAGAGATAGGCAGAGGCAGGCAGATCTCTGTGAGTTTGAGGCCAGCTCGGTCTACAGAGGGAGTTCCAGGACAGGCTCCAAAGCTACAGAGAAACCTTGTCTCGAAAAACAAGTCAAACAAACAAACAAAAATACACCATTCAGGCTGCAGATATAGCTCTAGAGGTTAAGAGCACTGCCTGCTCCTCCAGAAGTCATGAGTTCAATTCTCAGCAACCACATGGTGGCACACAACCGTCTGTAATGGGATCTGCTGCCCTCTTCTGTCATACTGGCACACATGCAAATAGACCACTCATGTGCACAGATAAATAAATATTTAAAAAATATACCATTCTTAATAAATGACAGAGACTAATATTTCTTAGTTATAGAGAGCTACTGCTTATCAATAAAAAGAACACATAACACTTCGCTTAATAAATGAGCAAAAGACTTCAACAATCAATTCAGAGAAATGTAAAAACTACTAGAAAGATGTATTTGCATGTTATTTGGGGGGTGGTTTATGAGACAGGGTTTCTCTGTGTAACAGCCTTGGCTGTCCTGGAATTTTTTTGTAGACCAGGTTGACCTCAAACTTACAGAGATCTGCCTGCCTCTGTCTCCCAAGTGCTGGAATTAAAGCATGTGCCTTCACCACCCGGCATGTATGTTGATTTTTAAAAGATTGATTTGTTTTAATTGATGTGTATGTGTGCACCTACATGAGTTTATGTACACCATACACACGTGGGTGCCCAAGAAGGCATTGGACCCCTGGAACTGGAGTTGCAGATGGTTATGAGTTTTATGTGAATGTTGGGAACCAAACCTGAATTCTCTGCAAAACCAGCATGTGCTCTTAACTGATGATCAGTCACTTAAAAATAATTTTAAATGTTACATTTCATGCTGGCAAGCCTGTGAGAAAACCCACTCTTTATAACCTACTGGAAATATAAATTAAGTGGGCCTCCCAGAAAGTCATTCGAAATTATATCAAGGTTCTAAACACATTATGCATTTTAATCCAGTAACTCTAGAACCTAATTTTTGGGTAATAATTGATATACAAGTATATTCATTGTGGCATTATACATCACAATTTTGGAGAATAGCTATATCTTTACTACCAAAGACAAACAAGTAGTAAATCTATTGTTTCAATACGGTGTACACAGGAAAAGACACATTTCTGAAGAGTGTTTACTGACCATAGCATGAAATTAATAGGAAGAAGGCAGTCTGTGAGAGTACATAGGAAGGCAAGCCAATGCTGATATTGGAGCTGGAGGACAGGGGAGAGGGGGAGAGGTGGGACCTTCCCTTCTGCTTCTTGAGTAAGTACATTGATGGTGATCCCTTCTAAGTAGAACTAAATAAAAAGCAATTTTTTCTGCAACTTGGCAACTTGACGAATTACCACAAACCGACTGTCCTAGTTTTATTTCTTGTTACTATGACAATAATGCCCAGACAAAACCAGTCTAGAGCTAGAGAGATGGTTCAGAGGCTAAGAGCACTCATTGCCAGCTCTTTCCAAGGACCTGAGTTCAATTCCTAACACTCAGAAAGCCACTCAGGTCTTCTAACCCTAGTTCTAGGGGCCTTGGATGCCCTCTTCTGGCTTCCTTGGGCACTGCATACAAGTGGTATAGAAATACATGCAAGCAAAATACCCACACATATAAAATAAGACATTTAAAAAGCAATCTTAGGGTTACAGGACAGGCAGAGCTGTTAAACAGAGAAGCCATGTCTCGAACCCTCCCAAAAAGCAACCTTAGGGACTTTCAGTAGACAAGCATAGGTGGTTGCCACCACACCTAACTGTCTGAGTTTAATTCTCAGGCCTCATGTGGCATAAGGAGAAAGCTGAGCCCTACAGATTGTCCTCTGATCGTGGTCACATGCACCCACAGTACATCCCACATTCAGGAATTGTCTTCTCTGCTCAATTAAGAAAACCCTTCTGTGCCAGGCATAGTGGTACACACCTTTAAATCCAGCACTTGGGAGGCAGAGGCAGGTGGATTTCTCTGGGTTTGATGCCAGCTTGATCTACAGAGTGAGTTCCAGCCCAACCAGTAGTGAGTCCCTGTTTGAGAGGTGGGAGGATAGAAGGAAGGAGGGGAGAAAGGGATGGAGGGATGGAGGGAGGGGTGGAGGAAGGGAGGGAGGGAGGGAAGAAGGGAGGGAGGGAGGGAGGGAAGGAGGGAAAAGGGAAGGAAGGAAGGAAGGAAGGAGGGAAGAGAGGAAGGAAGGAAGGAAGGAAGGAAGGAAGGAAGAGAAGAAGGAAGGAAGGAAGGAAGAGAGGAAGGAAGGGAGGGAGGGAGGGAGGGAGAGGGGGGAGGGAGGGAAGGAGGGAGTAAGGAGGGAAAAAGGAAGGAAGGAAGGAAAGAAAAGGAAGGAAGAGAGGGAAGGAGGGACGGAGGGAGGGAGGGAGGGAAATTCTCACAGATGTTCCCCGACCCGATCTAGACAGTCCCTTAGTGTCAGGCTCCCATCCCAGGTAACCCAAGTGGTCCAGACTGTGTCAGTTGTTGACTGTTAAAACCAGCCATGACACTAACTTATTCTGTCAGACCTCTGAAAGCCGAGAGTTGAAAATAGTGGCTTGGAGGTGACTTTCAGTATCCCGCTCCTTCCAGAGGCCTGGGGAAAAGGCATCCCTTGCCTCTCCCAGCCCCAGTAGCTGCTGGCATTTATGGGCACATCCCTCAGTCTTGCCTCCAGGCTCACATGAAGTTCTCTTCTGGCTGTCCCTCTTGTAAAGACAGCTATAAACTGCATTTGGGGATGACCTAGACA